CAGCACACATAGAAAAAAAACCTGGCTGCGGAGGAAGAGGATACAGGTTCTTGACTGGCCTGTCTGCAGTCCCGACCTGTCTTCTATAGAGAATGTGTGGTGCATTTTAAAGTGCAAAATGTGACCTCGTACACTTGTTGTCTTCAATCATTTTGTCATGCCGCATTAGATTTTGGTAAACCTCTGAAAACACCTGAACTAAATACATATCTGATGGAAACTTGCTTACATCTATACTGTTTTGTTTGGTTTTTACCTGAAATGTGATTGTTTGTGCTACTCGACACCTTTTCAGTTAGCTACATATGACACAAGACTGTTTGTGTTTGATGCTTATCAGATTAACCAGATAACAGCTACTGTTTTCAGCTGTCAACTGATTTGCATCTCTATTTTTGTGTCATGATATTGTATGTTTGACTAAAGAGTACAAGAGGCCTACAGTATCTTCAGATAAAATTTCTGGATTAGCGTGAAAGACCTCACTTTCTATCTCTACTTTTAGCCAGGGGCCGTCTGAGAAGGGACAATCCTAAATGGCAACATAAAAAAAAAACAGAGAAGCCTGTTTTTCACCAACAGTCTAAACCGGAGGAGATCAATATTTCATTGTCTCTCTTCAACACGGGTTAAGATAGAAAAATATATTAATAAATGATGAATTTGCAGCTAGTATGACAACAACTCAGAGGAGGCAGTCAGTTCAGTCAGTTCAGGTCAGACCCTGTTGTAACTTTTACATGTGAATGTTGTAGGGAGTCTGTATCAGTATTAATGTTTGTGTTAACTCTATTTTTCAAAGCTGTGGACTGTGTGCATAACAAACATGATGTTAAGACAACTAGGGATTATACTGGAAGATCAAAAATAGATTATGTTAAAAAAAGCATGCTAAATTGTGAATTTGTGATGAATTCGAAGAGATGGAACCAGGTCATTATGGATGTGTTTATGCACTAATTCATAAGGTTTCTCTATGCAGATTCAAGAGTATGTGGCGCCACCGCGCGGTTAAAATACAAACTGCACTTCACCTTACCTGTTAAACAAGTGTGCACGCTGGAAAACGTCTACCTAGGCAAGGCAAGGCAAGTTTATTTATATAGCACATTTCATACACAGTGGCAATTCAAAGTGCTTTACATAAACAGGAATAAAAAAGAGAGGTTTAGGAACATAATATGCAGACAATAAAAATTATTAAAAACAGATAAAAACAAATTAAAATGAGTTAAAATAGGTTATAAAAGAATGAAAAAGAAAACGAAAAACATAAAATTGCGATCTGTCGGACGCAGCACAGTGCTCATTCAGTAAAGGCACAGCTAAACAGATGTGTTTTCAGTCTTGATTTGAATGTGCCTAATGTTGGTGTTACCTACCTCAACCCTAACCCACCCATCGTAGTTATTAACGTTTACACCTACTGTACTGTGCACATACCATTGTAATTGTAACAACAAGTCAGGGAGTGGAGCTGCTAAATGAATGAGTATAATAATAAATCAAATTCGAATAGGCTGTGTATAAAATTTGGAGAAAACGCGTGAAAACATTTGCTGAAAATGCAAGTTACTTCGAGCTACGCCCCCTTCATGTTACGCCCCTGTCTTCAGTCCGCAGTACTGTAGTACAGTACAATAGTACTGAAGTGTGTGTTTTGTGCCATCTAGTGGATTAAAGGATTCACTAGATGTGAAAATAAATAAATAAATAAATAAGCTGTGCAATAATTGATAGTTAATGACCTCTTATATTTTCTCCAGCATCAGACTTTAAACTTGAACTAAAAAGAATTTTTTTATTTCAAAAAAGTTTTACAAGCCCTCCCACAGTTTTACAAGTGTTTTAATGCCTATTTGCCAACTAACTATAAATTACTATACTATACTATACTATAATATACTATACTATACTATACTATACTATACTATACTATATACATCTATTATTGTATAAAAAACACAAAATTCAATTTTATTTTATTCTATATTATTCTTTTTACACTTTAATTAAATCATATTTGCAGCCTCTGCTCGTGCACGCTGACCGCGAGCCTGGCTTGTCGCGAGCTGTTCGTGCACTTGCATTCATTCATTACCTTGGTCTCCGTGATTGTTGTTCCACTCGGTCGTAGAGGGTCGGTGGTCTGCACTGCATAGTTTTGCGCCAACCCCAATCAGACACAGAAACATCCTGGCAGATGTATTGAGGCAAATCGGAGCTAAACTCTTCAGGACACAGGCCCTCCAGGACTGCTCTGCACCCCTGCATCCTGATTCCTGTGCACCCCTGCTCATGGGGATTTATATACAATTGCAATCAGAAATAATAAACCCCCTGAATTATTAGCCCCCCTCTTTATATATTTTTCCAATTTCTGTTTAAAGGAGAGAAGATTTTTTCAACATATTTCTAATCATAATAGTTTTAATAACTCATTTCTAATAACTGATTTATTTTATCTTTGCCATGATGACTGTAAATAATATTTGACTAGATGTTTTTCAAGACATTTCTATACAGCTTAAAGTGACATTTAAAGGCTTAACTAGGTTTATTAGGTTAACTAGGCAGGTTAGGGGAATTAGGCAAGTAATTGCATACGATGGTTTGTTCTGTAGGCTATTGAAAAATTATTGCTTAAAGGGGCTAATAAATATGTACAAATATGTTTAAAAAGCTGCTTTTATTCTAGCTGAAAAGAAACAAGTAAGACTTTCTGCAGAATAAAAAATATTATCAGACATACTGTGAAAATTTCCTTGCTCTGTTAAACATCATATGGGAAATATTTAAAAAGGAAAAAAAAATCAAAGGGGGCCTATAATATATATATATATATATATATATATATATATATATATATATATATATATA